GAACTGAGACCGGTCACCGTAATGAAGGCAGATACCTGACTTGTGAATAAACCTAGTCAGAACAAAACCAGGATTCTACTTTAATTATGGTCTCCTGCTCAGCCCTGTCTACTTTATAAAGCTAACATTAGAGCTAGGAATGGGGCCAAGAAGGAAAGAAATAAGCATCTATGAAGCCCTACTATGTGTCAGACACTGTGCTAAGTTTTTTATAAATATTCTCATTTGATCCTCACAACAGCCCTGGAAGGTAGGTACTTTTATTATCTCCATCTTACAGTTAAGCAAACTGAGGCGAACAGATGAACTTGCCCAGGCTCATGCAGCAGTTAAGTGCCTGAGGCCAGATTTGAATCTAGGACTTCTTGATTCCAGGGTACCAAATTTAGAAGGTGCTGGAAGTTCTTGGAGCCCTTCAGTGGCATATAAACAACAGAGCCCAGGAGCTAGTTACTAGGATAATTGGTGACCACAGAATGCTGTGGAATGGGAGTTAGGGTGAGCACCTTGGTAAGCTGCTGCGTCATCTCCTCCGCACAAGGCAGTTTTACCTTACCGAGTGAGGACATGGGCATGGTGTACAAACAAGGTTTGTGGTACTTGCCCTAGGCATAACTGTTCCTAGCTGTGGCCATAGGATCCTAGCTGGGAGAGAACCCAGAGATCATCGAGTCTAACCATCTTATCTCACAGGTGAGAAAACTGAGGCATGCCCCCTTTGGTTCTGTCATGAATGTCTCCTTGTGCGCATGTGAAGCAGCTTCCTTTCTCAGGTGTGTATCTTGCGTCCCAGCTCTCCAGAAGCTTATTATATTCTTTGGGAGAAGTCAAATTCACACACTCGGAACTGGAGAATTCCCCCAGTGGAAGGATCTCCAATGGTATCAAGCCCAACCTGGATAAGAAACAAGGAACATTGTGGGAGAGAAGGTCACTGTGTCCTTCAAGGCCACAAGATCACCAAGGTCAAAGCTGGAAGAGACCTCGGAAATGATCTGGGCCAAACCCGTGACTCTATAGATGAGAAAACTGAGTCCCAACAAACAAATGACTTCCCCAGAGGAACCACCTAAGTATTTGAACTGCAGTTCCAACCCAAGACTCCTCATTTAGTTATTCGTTCAGCAAGTATTTCTCTCTTTCTAAAGAATATTTTTATTTTTCTCAATTACATGCAAAACCAATTTTTAACATTTGTTTTTTATAATTTTTGAGTTCTAGATTCCCTCCCTTCTCCCCTTCCCCCTTCCTTGAGAAGGGAAGCACTTTGATATAGACTATACATGTGCAGCCATCTGAAACATATTTCCATATTAGCCATGTTACAAAAAGAACACAGACCAAAAAAAGCACAAGAAAAATAAAAACAGTAAAAAGATGCTTCAATCTGCATTCAGAGTCCAACAGTTCTTTCTCTGGAGGTGAATAGCATTTTTCATCATAAGGCCTTCAGAATTGTCTCGCATCATTGCATTGCCAAGAATAACCAAGTCATTCCCAGTTGATCATCGTACAATATTGCTGTTATGGTGTACAACATTCTTCTGGTTCTGCGCAGTTCACTCTGCGTCAGTTCATGTAAATCTTTCCAAGTTTTTCTGAAATCATTCTGTTCATCATTGTTTTATCACAATAGGATTCCATCACAATCATACACTACAACTTGTTCAGCCATTCCCCAATTGATGGGCATCCCCTCAATCTCTAACTCCTTGCTTCCAAAAAAAAAAAAACTGCTATAAATATTTTTGTACACATGGATCCTTTTCCTTCTTCTTTGATCTCTATCAGATACAGACCTAGCAGTGGTATTACTGGGTCAAAGAGTAAGCACAGTTTTATAGCCCTTTGGGCATAGTTCCAAATTACTCTCCGGAAGGGTTGGACCAGTATACAACTTCAGCAACCGTGGAGTATCAGCAAGTATTTCTTAAAAACTTGCTGGCTGCTAGGGACCCTGTCAGATGCTGAGAATACAGACAAAAACACAGCAATCTCTTCTCTTAAGTAGCTAAGCATAGTGCTTGGCACATAGTAGGTGCTTAATAAATATTTGTGGATTGATTGACCTTGTATTCTATAGGAGAAAATAGCATGTACACAAATAAATAAAGACAAAATAAAGTTGGAGAGGATCAGGATAGGCTCCTACTATGTGTGGATTCAACACTAGTGTGAAGCACTGGGGATAGAGAGACAAGAAAAAAACAGTTGCTGTCCTCTGTGAGCTTACATTCTGCTGGAGGCATCCAATCTGTATCTAGAGGTAATGAGAGTAATCAAAAGAGCCCCTGATCTGGGAAGACCGGGCTGTAGAGCATGTGTTGAGCTGGGCCTGCCCGCAGGCCACTTCTGGTCATTTCAATGCCTTGCTGAAGAGCACCATCCCTTGGACATCCTGATGGGAGCTAGGGTTGGGGTGCTGTGCCATGGAGAACTGCCCAATGATTGAGGGAAAAGAGCCCTACGGGGAGCAAGAGACCAACCAGGAGCCTCGGGCTGTGCATGCCTTGCCTCAAGGGGCCAGAGCACATGGGTCATCAGCAGTGACCACCCAGCCCCATACACACTCCCTGGGGATGTGGGAGAGGAGTATTCTGGCTGCCTGCCCCCATTACAGCTAAGCAAAGTCCAAGTATATACAAAGCAATTGGAAGGCAAGGACATTCCCAATTGAAGGGGATTGGGCAATGTTGCTGGTCTGGTTGGGGTCAGTATCTGAATGTGCCTGGAAGGCAGCCAGCCAGAGATCCTCCAAGGCCGAGGGGAGAAGAGAAGACCTTTCAGGTATGACCAGCCATCTGTTCAAAGTCCCCAGAGTAGGAAGGAGAGGAGAGGACAGCTAACAGGCCAGTAGGACTAGAGTAGAGTGCATGAAGGGGAAGGAGTTGATCGAAGACCAGTCCTATTAAGGCCACCTCCTCTCCTAAAATTGTCTGATCCTAGGCCTAATTCTCCATTAAATACACACACACACACACACACACACACACACACACACACACACACACA